CCGTCTCCGTCTGCTTCTGAAGTTCCCTTTGCTGAGATGGTTGTTCTAGCTACTTTGACCTCTTACTTTTTGAGACTGAGTTCAAGAACCACTTCCTCCAGAATGCTTTCCCTAACCACTCCATATCATCTCGATGCCCACCCTGAGCTCCCAGAGCATTCTGTGCACATTCACCTCTTATCACTTACCATATTCACATTACATTGAAAGGAATCATTTCTGCTTCTGACTTCCTGCTAGACTCTAGCTTTTAGGAGCAGAAGTTATATCTTATTAATCTTTGTAACCCCAGTGCTTCACCCAGTGCCTAGCAAATCAAATGTACCTAAGTATTTATTTAACTGAAAACCAGTAGAAAAGTCAAGTAAAAATGTGTGGTTCAATAAAGTCTTGTCTAAAATAGAGGAAATCACAGGTCCACAACTCTTTAGTTGCAATTCCAAAATCCCTGAAGCTCTCAAACAAAAAGTTATTCATAAAACTCACCTTGGTGGCAAATTTGACCTGATCTGAAGTTACTGATGGAGTTCATTTATCACATTTTGAGTAAATAAATATTCACGTTTTGTTGAGGAATATTATAGTTTCAGGTAAGGGGTTGGGAGGTGTGGTTAATAGAAAGGGGTCTCTCAGGTGGTTTCTGGTCCTGTGGTCCCAGAGGAAGCACTCACATCCTGAGCAGTGGCCCGCAGTGTGTCCAGATGTCGGCCAGTCACGTAAACTGTGGCACCTGCTTGGCAGAGCTGTAAGGCGATGCCACGGCCAATACCTCTGGAAGCACCAGTCACCACGCACACTTGGCTCTTCATGGGAGCTGCCATGACTCACAAGCAAAGGGGTGAAATCTGCGGAAGCAAAGATTTGTTATGAAGGAAGCCCGCAGAATGTGTATGTGAAAGAGGACCCTGATAGTGGAAGGAGGGGGAACCATGGCTGGGATCCTTTAAGGGGAGAGAAGTTTCAGAGGGGGACAACTGGGTACAGGCCGCAGAAAAGGCAGCTGTCACTTTTGGGAGGCCTAAGAGTAGAGAAGGGGTGGGCCTGTCCACGGAGGGGCACCGACTGGGACTCTCTGAGTGGTCCTGGCTGGGTGGGAGATTCTCGCGCGACAGTCCTCGCGGCGCGCCCACGCAGTCTTGGGCTATCTGGCCCAGTCTCGCCGCGCCCTTTGGCGCGGCTTCTGGTTCCGGGGTGAGCCAAGGTCCAGGGACCTGAGCCCCAAGTGGGATGAGCTCGCAACCTTTACTTGCCACCTGTGCTGTCTCTGAAGTCCCCTCTCCACCTCGCTCGCAAAGCTATCGGAATCGCGAACTTTCCGGCTTCACGGGCGGGACAAGGTGACTACTGCTGAGTCAGAGTACGGGGCGGGGTGCAAGTACGCGCTCTGGCTGGGTTTCAGCGGGCGGCGTGGAGGGGATGGTCAGGGAGCGGACGGTTTGGTCGGAAGCAGTTCCGGTCGGGAGCGGTTCTGGCACGTGGAGGCGGGGCGACCTGGGGACACACCCACTCCAGCCAGGCCGGGGGCCGTCGCGGGACTTTGACGTAGAAGCTGCGTCCTGAGCGCGCCGGCGCTTCTGACTCCGTAGGAAGCCGGCCCACACCTGGCTGAGTGCTGTCCCGCTCCGGAGAAAGGAGCTTTCGCCGTCGGAGAGGGCGTGAAGTACCCATGGGGCTGGGGCCGCGCTCCCCCCATAAGGACCGGCGCCGGTTCCCGGCTGGCGGCAAACGGGGGCGTGGGGCCAGGGGGTCAGGGCGCCCCGCATCAGGCCGCCAGCGACAACCCTGCCCTCCTCCGGACGGGCGCTCGGAGCCGGCTCTAGATGCGCCCCTTCACCTAAGTTCCGAAGCGCTGGGGTATTTCCGCCGGGCGCTGTCTGCGCTGAAAGAGGCCCCGGAGACTGGAGAAGAACGAGGTAGGGAGCACTTTCAGAGTGGGACCAAGAGAGGAACTTGGGCATAAAATCCAGGTCAGGCAAGGAAATTTTCGTAGATTCCCAGGGCGTGGGGACTTAGTTTCATCTCCCGTATCCTCTTCCTCACTCTCAGACCCTTGGTTCAGTGATGAAACATAACCTTATCTTCCTCTCAGTCTCTCTAAAATATTTCTTTCATTGTCTTTCCAGAGCTGATGGTGCACAATGTTTTGAAAGAAGCGGAGGCTCAGGCCATAGCCTTGGCCACACATAGGACTGGCAGTGAGATGCTGCAGGAACTGTTGGGGTTCAGTCCCCTGAAACCTCTGTGTCGGGTATGGGCAGCTCTGCGTTCCAACTTGCGCTTTGTGGCCTGTCATCGAAGCGGGGTCCATGTATTGCAAAGTGCTTTGTTACAGCTGCCTCGATTGCTAGGGAGCCGTGCAGAAAATGAGGAGGTGGAGGAGGAGGAGGATGGGAAGAAAGGTTCCTTGGAGACCCTGGAGGAGCTGGTCCAAGGACTAGCCTCTGAGGTGTGTGATGATTTTCTTTTCTACTGTGGAGACACACATAGCAGCTTCGTGGTCAGAACTCTGCTGCAGGTGTTAGGAGGGACTCTTCTGGAGTCTGAGAGAGCCAGACACCGTGGCTCCCAGTCACCTGGTAAGTATTACAAGAGAAGGAAGTGGATCTAGAGAAAAGGAGGGTTTAGGAAGTTCAGAGGGAGAGTAATTCAGAAGAGTAATTCTTCCTGACCTTGAATAATTAGCAGAGAAGTTATGACAGAGCTTAGTAGACCAAAGATTGTGCACAGAGGCCCAGTGTTGAGAATGTATAGGCATGTTTAGGGGCCAGCTAAACTTGACTTAATGTACATTTGTGTGTGTGTGTGTGTGTGTGTGTGTGTGTGTGGTGGATTCAAGCAAAAGTTCCAGGAAATAATATCCTCACTACATGCAACCCACTCTGAAATTTTCATCCCTTTTTTATTTTATTCTGTTGTATTTTGTTAAAAAGGCGCTGGTTGAGATCCACTAAAATGATTTCATAGTGCACTCAGGCAGTGACCTACATTTTAAAAAACTCTGGCAAATAAGGTTAGAGCATTTAGATGAGGCCTGATTTTGGAGCACCTTGAGTTCCTGGCTGAGTAGTTTGGACTGTCTCCAGTGGACCATGGGGAAGCTGGTTGAAGTTTCTTTAAAAAATTAAAATAGAAATGTAGTCTCAGTTCAGACATCTAGATGAGAAGAAATGTTCTGCATCTCTAAGCTGAATCTTTGTTCATCAGTGGAATTCTTCTCCCTCCTGGATGATAGTTTGTGATCTCACCACTGCACATATTCTTGATCTTCCTTCAGAAACACAAAGGGCCCCACCTCGAGAATGTAAACCAACTGATTTTGAGGTTCCTGAATCCTTCTTGAATTGCCTTCAGGACCTGAGCTCCTGCTTTCTGAAGGATATTGCTGGTAAGGAGAGAAATAAGAGGGTCTAGGACTTACTTTTCTGGAGGCGATTATCTTCAAACAAGGCCTTTATTTAGGTCAGTATTATTCCTCTCCTTTTCAAACCTGATCTGGTTTGATGTTGCAAAGGCTCTCTATAGACCTTTATAGACCCTTCGTGTCTATAGCCCCTTGTACCTTGTCACTTGAGGTTTAAGGTTATATAGGTCATCTGGATTTTGGGAAAGCTGCTTTTATTATTTCTGCTTTCTTCCCACAGTGTTTATCACTGACAAGATCTCCAGCTTCTGCCTTCAAGTGGCCTTACAGATCTTACACCGCAAACTTCCCCAGTTTTGTGCCCACCTCTGTAATGCTGTGATTTGCTACCTGAGTAACCGCAATTCCTCAGCAGATGGCAGGTATGGTCAGGGCCTCAGGATTGACCAAGGTTAATGGGGCTGTGTGAAATGAATGAGGTCATATAGGTATTTTGGGTGAAGTAGAGTTAAGACTACCTCTCCTTGTCCCCAGCCCCCTACTGCTATTTCTGCGGGATCAGACGAGCTCCAGACTCCTGGAGCAGGTGCTGCTGGTGTTGGAGCCTCCGAAGCTCTGGAGCCTCTTTGAGGATCACTTCCAAGGGCAGCTGCAGATCCTCGCTGCACATCCTATTGCCAACTTCCCTTTGCAGCGTTTACTGGATGCTATCACTACACCTGAGCTAGTGAGTTAGGAACTTGGCTGGGTCTGTTTCTATACTCTGTGGTTTCTGTTTGTTCTTGAATATTGGGCCTAATTTTTATTGTGTGTCTGCCTCTGTATTTCTGACTGTGTGCTGGCTATTCTTGAAAAGTTATTCCTGGGGGTTTCTTCCCAGAAAGGATTTGCTTTGGCTTCTCTTAGGTGCCAATACCAGCATGAGACTGGCTTAAACCGGGTTAGCAGCCTGAGGTTCCACAGCCCACTCAGACTGGGTACTTGGCTACAATCCATGAACGCTGGAACTGTTGCCATAACTTCTCTTTTTTTGCTGTTTAGTGCCAAGGCATGCTTCTCTGGGATCTCAAAGATTGGGAGGTAGGGTGGAAGGGCAGGTTTGATTCTAATTCTCCTTTACTCTGAGAGTATGGCCATTTAAAGTCCCCTCCCCATGTGAGGCAATACCTCTAAGACTGCCCCCTTGTCCTGGACTTTTCTTATCCAGCCAAACCAAAGTCCTGATATTGGCAATGATTTTTGTTTTATCTAGCATTTATAGTTGTTTTTGGCAGGAAGATTTGTCCGAATAACAGCCCATAGTTACTAGAATGACAGACTTTTTTATCCCATGCCCCCTTTCAGCTGTCCTCCGTGTTTGAGGAGCTGAGCCCTGCCTTGGAAGCTGTGCTGGCCCAGGGTCACCCAGGGGTAGTTGTTGCCCTGGTGGGGGCCTGCCGCAGAGTTGGAACCCACCAAGTCCAGGTCCTGCAGCTGTTGTTAGAGGTGAGTGGGTATTACTTCAAATTCTTCCTCTTAGGACTTACTGAATCTTTAGTTGTATCTCTGGACCCAAGAGATTTAATGCCCAGGGAGTTCATAGATACGGGAAAATGAAACTAAAGCCATCTCATAGCCCTGGAGTGAAAATTGTCTCCCAGAACAAAGAGTGAAGTTTATTTAAGAAATAAATATTTATTTGACCCCTGTTACATGTATAGAGGCTGGGGATACAGCAGGGCTGATGAGATCCTGTCCTCATTTAGCTTACATTCTTGTGGAGTTTGGACTTACTGCTGTTTCTG